AATGAGAAAACCAAGAAAGGGAGGAGAGAAGGAATGGGGAGGGAAAGCAAACAAAACCACTGGATTGCCAAGCACTGCCACCACTTGACTATATTTACATATTCAATCCTCACAACACTCCAGGGAGTACAGAAAAGGAGATCAGAGGCCCACTGACTTGCTCAAAATAACAAAGCTACAAACCCTGAGTCAGGATTTGAATCTGGTCTGCCTATGAGTCCAATGGCAGTTCCTCTAATCGGCCAGTCAGCAGCACCAAACTTCCCAACACTGGAGCCGGTGTCCTGGGCCTTCCCAGGCAGACTCACCTGCGAGCTGGAGGGCAGCACCTGGGAGGTGGGCTCCTCTGTCAGGGCTGCTCCAGAGCTCATGGGGCTCAGCGTGGTGATTCGGCTTGGTTGGCCACGTAGTGTCAAAGTAATGGTGGTGGGGACCTTCAAGCCTGAGAGAAAGGAAAGTTGGGTTTTTTTGGTCACGGCCTCTACTCACCTCTCCTGAAGAGTTTCTTCCCCACATAACACACCCACCTTGGCCTCTAGCCCTAGGCTCCTCCCCCATGGGGTCACCTCTGCCCTGTCATTCAGTCTGAAAAGCAACAGGAAACAGCCTGTGTCCTCTCAACATCTCTGGGGAACAGACTCACACAGTTGAATCCCTGAGGGTCAATGCCAGAATCCCTTATGAGATGGGAAGGTCCCAGAGAAGATCCTTTATCTAGGAATCCCCATAGTTCTCCTGACAGACTCACCTGATGCTTGATTAGAGATCTGAGCCAGGCCAGGGAGGCTGCTTGCTAACTTAGCCAGGCCCCCATTGGTCAGCAGCTGGTGGATGGCTGTGGGCTTCCCACAGGGAGTGGCACCCAAGGAGGAGAGAGTGGTGGCAACAGGAATGGTACGGACAATGGTGCTGGTGCCCGTGGTGACAGCACCCAGGCTCTGCATGGGGGTGGGCAACTTCACACTGGCGGCCTGTGGAACACACAAGCCCAGGTGATCAGAAGCTATCACCCAACAGCAATGTTCCAGTGCGGAAAGCCCACAGCATATTATGAAAGGCTACCAGGCATTGAGTACCTACTGCATACAAGGTACTCTTCCAGGTATTTTCCATATATTATTTTACTTAATCCTCAAAACAACCCTGTGAGAGAGGAACTACTATGAACCTCATTTTACAGACAAAGACAAAGAAATATAGAAAGGTCAAGAAAGTTGCCCAAGATCACATAGTAAGTGATAGAACCTTAACCTTGGAGAGCTCCCAGCTGTGAAGTCAGAAGGCTGTTTGTCCTTGACCAGACTCCAGCCACAGTCTCCCTGCAAAAACCAACTAGCTGCCCACACCTGCCCAGCCCAGGGAAGGCAGATGTGCACCTGTGGGGCTGGCCCTGGGGAGGGATTTGCTGGGAGGCCAGTGGTCTTGCTGCCAATATCCTGCAAGCTGAAGCTGAGGCCTTGCAGGAGGCTGCTGGCTGATGCGGCCCCTAGGAGAGGACATAACAGACATCAGCACAGGCTCAATCACTTACCCAACCTCAATACCTAACTAAACACCAATGGGCTTTCCTTCAGACATCCCCAGTGCTCTCAGGAAGCTGCCAGGAGGCCTTCCCCAGGTGTACACACTGGATGCCCACATGAAGGAAGGTACTAGGCGACACACACTGCATTGGATTCACTCTGCACATCCCAACCTGTTCCAAAACATCTGTCCTACATTTTGGACAGTTTTTGGAAAACCAAAGAAAGCTGAATCGCACTTTTCAGAAATCTCAATGCTCTTTCTTTCCAGGGAAAAGGAAGGACTTTTTAAGCCAAAAGAATTCCAAATACTTGACTTACACTTCACTTTATAACAGAGCCCAGTGGCCTCAACACCAAGAGGCAGGTCCTCTTGAAGAAGGGCATCTCCAGTGCCTTGGCCCAGCTGGGCTCAGGCAACTAGCCTTTCAGTATTGATGGCGGTGGAGAGAGTGGGGAGGTGGGCATGGGCAGAAAATGCCTTGTTTTGCTAATTGCCTAGTAGAACACCATTTCCAGTTTTATTCAGTCAGATGGGTTTAAAAGCACCACAATGAGGCACAATAATGTGTCTCCCACTAGCTACTGACAGTACAAATTACACTACCTGCAAAAAAGGATATTTACTCACTGAATACACTAAGGACAAGAACTCCCCCAATTCAAAGCTAATCCCAGCTTCATGGTAAGCCCCTGTGACAAGCCACACTCCAGATTCAGCTCCAGGGATGCTTTCCCAGGACCACCCTCCAGAAGCAGCCCACAAAGACTCTGCTGGGAGGCTGGGAATGCTGGGCTACCAGATACCTGGGAGGGAGCTACCAGCAGAAGTGGCCACCAGGCGGCTCTGGAGTGTGTGCAAGGCACTGGAGTGTGTGGTACTACTGGAGATGGAAGAGGCTGAGACTCCGCCTTCAGAAGCACTTGACCTGGAGACAAAGACAGAAGCTCCTTTATGCAAAGGCTGGAGGGCAGCAGACCCTGGCAACACGGGAAGGATCAAGAGCAGGGTGTAACGGCTTTTAGCAACGGACACAAGGCTAGAACCTACAGTCTCCTAGTCCCATCTTCTGAATCTGGCCTCTAATCCTTCTAAAAGGTCTAAAGTAAACACTTTAGGCATTGAAAGAGCTATGGTACACTGAAAACTGTTAAGTAAAAATGAACTCTCAGTTGACCCAAAAGACAAAATTCCCACTCAGAAAAAAATAACATTCCCAAAACTGACAGAACCCAGAATCCTTCATCTTCTCAAAGTACTAAATGGACCAGAGACAAGGCAAAAAGAACTAATGGAACAGGCAGAAAGACAACAGACTCACTTGGTTGTGGTGAGAAGCCCTGTGAGCTCCGTGGCCCCTGCTGAAGCCTGCCCCAGCGTCCTGGTGATGGGCTTCCCTCCCAGGGCTGCAAAATAAAAACCCAAGGCCAGCCATCAGTCCTTTTCAGCCCTACTTCTCAGGGCCCCCCAGCCCAGGCTAAATGCAGCACACTACAGACAAAGACAAGGAGACGAAGAGCAGACAGTAACTACACAGGGTAGGGAGAGTTGGTTATTTTTTTTCCTTCCACTTTCTAAACTTTCTGGAATATTTAAGTGTTTTTAATTGAAACCAAAATAGAAAACAATGTGAGATGCTCTGAATAACTGCACAGCTTCCTCTGACCCTTGTTCTGTCTCTCTGACTCAGTCCATATCAGATCACTACCCATGTTCCCCACGTGCAACCTTGTGCCCTCTTTGCTCCAAACACCTCTTGCACTGAGAAGAGGCGGGGCTGCCCTCTAGTAGCCACCAAGAGGGCAATGCTCTGTGCCCCAGGAGAGCTTCAGTCAGTCGGTTTTTACCTCAGCAGGTCAAGAGAAACTCACCTTCTGGAGCTCCTCCTTGGGAAGGAGTACAAGGCCCTCCACCCGTGTCCCCTTGGGAGACAAGAGACACTTTTATCTTCGGTCGCTTGGAGGTCTTACTGCCAGGAAGAGGACTGGAGGGATGATGCCGCTTCAGCTGGACCCTAAGATCCTCTTTCTCTGCTTCCTCAGTTGGTTCTGATGAAATGGGAACTAAGAGAGGGAGCTCAGGTGAGGCCCTCCGCAATACGAAAAAGCCCAAGAGACATTGGCAAGCAGTCCTGGTGTGTGCACGGCTGTGCGTGGATACACGGAAGAACCACCCCACAGTGAAGTCACACTGGAAATGAGACTACCAATGCTTCAGTCCCACCTCATTCAGGCCCTGCCTGTGGCAGAACTCCGTAGGCCTCCCCCCTCCCAGAGGATGGTACCACACCCATCCCTTACCCTGTCTTGGAGTCCCAAGGAGGGGACTCTGAGTTGGTAGGGACAAAAAGAAAGGAGAAGACACTCTGACCCTGCCTAGCCAAGGCCAACCAACCAACCAGAGGGCTCACCACAGTGCATCTAAACAGTGCTACCTGGATTCAGAGTGTGACCGTTTTCCTGTTTCAAGCCCTCTCCACATCACACACCAGGACAGCAGTACTACAGCAACATTCCTCTCTACACAAGTCCCACCTGCCCTCGGAGCCCAGGGCTCAGAGTTTGCCTGACAAATGGAGGCAGTGAGGATTACCACCAGGACTTAAGGCTGGCTTCGAGTAGCTGCTAGGCAAGGGAGCATCTCATCAAGACAACGTTATTGCTCCTGCCCAAAAGTAACAGGGTGACAGTGGCCCACATCACAACCTAGTCCCTAAGCCATTTGTGCTAGTACAGAGACCTTGGCCACCTGTTCACACACAGGTGCCCCCTCTACTAACTCGGACAGACTCATCCTGTACGTGGCCAAGACTTCTGGACTCATGTTATTCCAGGATTCCTCATAGACCCCCCTCCTTTTTAAACCCAGAAGTCCACCCCAGGCCCTCTTCTCAGCACAGACAATAGGATGGGGTGGGCAGGAAGCAGCAGCACAGGAGGAGGGGGCCACGGTGAGCTACTCCAGGCCACAGCCAGGGTATAACCAGCCAGAAGGATTGCTTAGGGGTTAAAGGCATTGATTAAAATCAGAACATGAAGGACAGTAAGAGGTAAAGCTACAGGCTTTATGCTGAGAAGTGGCTGGCGTACTTGCAGCGGCCAGGACGGAAGCAGGAAAGCAGAGGCATGGAGAAGAACACACAAGGACACTCAGGCTCACAAGTGACTGGCCACAGGCACACACAGGGGAGGCAAGGGCAGTGAGACAAAAAGGGGAAAACATCATGAGAGGCAAACAGAAGGAATGAAGAAAAACCAGACTGTGGAGTAGGCAAATGGAGTCAGAAAAGTAAGAATCAAAGATAGAAAAAAGCAGGGAAAAAAGAACAGGAGGAAACCAAACAGACAAATGAGAGGCAGGAGTGGGGAAGAAGTAAGAGGGAGAAGGGGAGAGAAGCAGAGAGCAGAGGGCAGAAAGGTGAGAGAAGAGCAATACTCACCAAAGAGACAGGAGGAGGTGCCAGGAGGAAGAGCTTTCCTCACCAGCATATTTTGTTTCAGAAAAGCAGCAAACTGTGCTGGAATGAATCAGAAAGAATTACAGAATCACAGCCAGCCAGATAAAGGAGAAAAAGAGAGGGAGTAAGAAAAAGATAATGAAAATGTTTTAGGAAATTGTCAACAGGGACTTTTCTGGAATTAATGCATGAGTCTGAACCCTGATTCTGCCATATAGGAGCTCCATGGAATCATCTATAAACTGAAAATAAAAGTATCTGCCTCCGGCAGCTGGTGCCAAGATTCCATAGCAACAGTAGGCCAATGCCAAGAGGAGGGCAGGGCGCACAGTGCGAGCTATCATCACCTCCCATTGCCTGCAAGCTCTGCTGAGGCCAGGGAGCCGTGGCTGCTGCTCTTCCCAGGATACTCTGGGTACAATTTCAAACCCAGCTCACCAACTACTTAAATTCTCCACTAATTAGCCCTTCCAAAAGCACAGCAGACTGCTGGCTCTCTCTTCATCAAAGGCCTAAGGGAACACCACCCACATGGAACTTGGCTCTGGCACCCACTTTAGAAGATCCGGATCATGAAGCATCCCTGTGGGCCCTAGGGGCCTGGGCTCTTTTTGCCTTCAGCGATCCACTCACACTTGTTTTCCTTGTCAGCACCCACTCTTAAGAGTGACCTCAGAAGAGTCCTGGTTTTAAGTCTTGACCCTGTGGCTCCACCACAAGAAACCCAGGAGAAGCGAGCTTCTCAGCCTCCTGTCAGCTCCACATTTACTTGACAGCCAGCTCTGGCTGCTGTCTCTTCCCAAGCACCTGAGAACCTCAGAGGATACATGTGCCTAGACATATCATCACACACCAGTGCCCAAGAGGCCTGACCTCAAGGCCACCCAACTGGATCCAAGTCGGGCAGGGGTAGAGCATCTGTTTCCTTCTTCCAATGCACCAATCTCTCCCTTTTCTACAGCTTCTTAAGTAGCACTCACTGTTCTCCACTCTCATTTCAATCATACAAATATTTCCTAGCCTGCCTGCAGAGGCCGTGATAAACTCCACTGAAAGTCCCAGTGGGGAATCTTAACTCTTCAAGGGCAAAACAAAGGAGGGGCATGATGCCAGTAGAGTTGCCCTGGGATGTGCTGGGTGAAGCCCATCACCCTGGACACGTGACCTGGAATGCTCCTTGACTACAGGAGTGGCTGGGCAGGGATGAACAGAAGACGTAGCTTCCCCAGTTAGGAGTTAGAAAAAAATGTAAGCCAATATGCAAGTAGTCCATTCATAAAGCCTAACTTCCCTAGAATACCAAGACAAAGCTCCAATTAATGGAATTTTAAAGCAGACCTTTTGTGATGTTCTGCCCTTAAAAACAGCCCATGGCATTCATTTCAAGCTAATTTTGCCTGGACAGAAATGTGGGAAAGGGTGCCTCTCACATGGCCCTGGAAAAAGCTACAGAGACCAATACTTCCCAACAGCTGTGACATCAACTGCAGCGGACAGACCTGAGAGGCCGGTGGGCTGGGTGCCTATACCTTGGGCCTGTTTGTGGGTCAGCACAGCTTCTGTCCGCTGTACATGTCTCTTCATCAGCTGAGAGCTCCCCATCTGGCTGGCCTTCTGGGCAGAGGACACGGTGCTTACTTTGGTCTTGGGACTGGAGGTAGGGCTGCTGGACACACTGGAAAGATCCTGAGTAGGTGAGAAGGACAAGAGCTGACCGTCAATCATGTTCCCCTGAAAAGCCTGGTCAGAAACTTCCCTTGTAGGAACACACAGGCCCTCAGCACCAGCAAGGTGGACAGGCATCCCAGAAGTGAGGGAACCAACTCTGCAGCCCTGATCCCTCAGCTAAGTGCTCCCTCCCTGCCTACATTACCTCTGAACCTGAAGGTGAGGCAGGCAGCTTGGCGGCTGGTGAGGCTGGTCGACTGCCCCGCTCAGGAATCTCAAAGGCCAGGTCTCTGCGGGCCGCATCCCGGGGCTTCTTTTTCTTCTCAGCATCCTGATCCCGAGGTTCAGAGCCCATGTGCCCCTCGGTGCGAGTGAGCACCCCAGTCAGAAAGTCCACAATTTCATCCTAGTGTAAGGGGGGGGGTCAAAGCCTCTGAGTCCTCAAATGGAGAACAGGAACCTCCCCCACAGTCCAAGTAAAACCACTTCCCCTTGGCCTTGACACTGGATATACCAGTCCCCACCACACACACACAGCCTGGCACAAACGCAGCCTCTGCCCAAGACCAGTAGGAGTCTGCACCCACTGCCTCTGGGAGGGGGCACTCTGGGGCGGTTGTGCTATACCACTCCTCCAACAAGCCCTTTCTCCCCTGATGCTTCACTCACACCTGAAGTTTTTTTTCTGTCTTCTCCTTTTCTTTTCCCTTCTCTTGGCTTATGATTTAGGTCTACCAGAGGCCCAGTGGATACCCCCTCAACCTTCAGAGTCAAAGAGGCCACTGCCAACAAGACCAAACCTAAAAGGTGGTAGAAAGGCAAGCCTGGCTGAGAAAGAACATAAAGCCACTGGGTACCTGAATACATCTGTCCACCATGCTCTGAGTCAACCCCTCTGCTTTCTTCTTTGCTTTGCTTATTCTAAGAGACAAAAAGGAAGAAATGTTTACTTTCTAAAGATTCCATGGCACCATGTGGAAATAGGAAGGGATTTTTCTTCTGTGTTGGTTATTTTCTAGGCCCAGAAAGGAAGGCTACATTAGCTCTCATGCAAGTATGGCAAACTCTTGAAACTCAGTTTCCACATCAGCAAAATGGGAAATCGTAATACCTTACTCATGGAGTCAGGGGGATTACATAAATAACAGGTGTAAAGAAGCAAAGAACATATGACAAGTGGCTGGGACTGTACATCCAGAATTCCCACGGCTACAGCTTCACCGATAAACTACACAACTGTTAATTATGACCTCATCTACTGCAACACAGACCCAAGCCCTGAGATCACTGGGTGTTGTTGAAATAAAATTAGTAGGAGGGGAATAAAAGTGGTCACAGATTAGTTCTAAAGGGGTAAGAACAAATGACCACAGCTGGCTGTATTGCCCTCCTGGAAAGCTAGCCTTAAAACCCTCAAAATCCCTCTCTGAAAACTAGTGAGGCTTGTGACTGGAGTCTTGGCAGAGAGAGAAACAGGACACCAGGTGACAGGATGGAGAACAATATTCTGAGCCACCAAATTCTGAGGCCCCAATTTACTAACTCTTAGCCTCTAACCTTGTTTAACACCTTCATTTTACAATGAGGACAGTGAGTCCTAGAAGTTAAGCAATTTACCCAGGCTTCTTAGCAAAGAGGCCAAGAATAAATTGAGGTCTTCCAATTCTCAGTCCAATGCTCCTGGCAACACACAGATATGTCTAATAAGCAGCCTCACACTCTAACTCTTACTAAGGGTGCACCCATCTCTCCTATGCCCCAACAATGACTGAACACATACAAGCTATACTCCTGCAAAAAAAATGCTGGAATTACCAAGGAAGACAATGTATTTACAATAAAACATTCCCTTGGGCACTGAAGGATAGGATTCTAGGTCCACAAGAAACTGTCAAATGATGAAGGCCAGAGGACTTCTCCACAACATCTTTGGGTAAGAAACTGACAGGATACGTGGGAGCAGGTACTTGCTTTAAGCTCTCTAAAGTACACAAATGAAACTAATCTCTAAGGCTGAACATATAAAGAAAAGGAGGCCCAATAAAATGACATGATCTATTTTTCAGTACATTTCATGACAACATCACTGAAGGCCCTATAGGCAGCCAGTCATGTAAAGGAATAGTGGCTGTCTCAATGACTAAAGGTACATTCCTAAAACCCCTTCCAAACTATGGCTGTTTATACTCCAAAATTTATAAAAGTATGCTTATTATAAATGAAATCTATGTTTTCATTCATCCCCAGGAAGGAACAAAATATAAAGAAATGCCAGTCCAGTGAAAGGGTGATGACAAAGACTGTACTTAGAATCTCAAAGTATCTTCTACCCACAAGATGACTACTAATTATAAAGGGGAAAAAGGTAACTTTACAGTGGAGATACCTGGCAGATGCCACCTTAACCACATGATCAAAGTTGACATCACCAGTAATAAGACACTTCTACATCATGTGCCCCCCTGAGCAGATGCACATGAGGGCATTTCACCGCTGTGGCATTCCCGCCAAAAATGCATATCCTCAACCTAATCATAAAAAAATGTCAAAAACCTAAGTTGAAATGAACAAGTGGGACTATATCAAGCTGAAAAGCTTCTGTACAGCAAAGGACACCACCAATAGAATAAAAAGGCATCCTATAGTAGGGGAGAATATATTCATAAATGACAGATCTGATAAAGGCTCGACATCCAAAATATATAAAGAACTACAAACAAAAAGCAAATTAATCCAATTAAAAAATGGGCAAAGGATCTGAACCTCTCCAAAGAAGAAATTCAGATGGCCAACAGACAGATGAAAAGATGCTCCACATCCCTAATCATCAGAGAAATGCAAATTAAAACCACAGTGAGATATCACCTCCCACCAGTTAGGATGGCCAATATCCAAAAGACAAACAACAACAAATGTTGCAAGGATGTGGAGAAAGGGGAACCCTCTTACACTGCTGGTGGGAATGTAAACTAGTTCAACTATTGTGGAAAACAGTATGGAGATTCCTCAAAAAACTCAAAACAGAAATACCATTTGACCCAGAGGTCCACTCTTAGGAATTTACACTAAGAATGCAGCAGCCCAGTTTGAAAAAGACAGATGCACCCCTATGTTTATCACAGCACTATTACAATAGCCAAGAAATGGAAGCAACCTAAGTGTCCATCAGTAGATGAGTGGATAAAGAAGATGTGGTACATCTACACTATGGAATATTATTCAGCCATAAGAAGAAAACAAATCCTACCATTTGCAACATGGATGGAGCTACAGGGTATTACACTCAGTGAAATAAGCCAGGCAGAAAGGCAAGTATCAAATGATTTCACTTATCTGTGGAGTATAAGAACAAAGAAAAAACTGAAGGAACAAAACAGCAGCAGACTCACAGAACCCAAGAATGGACTAACAGTTACCAAATGGAAAGGGACTGGGGAGGATGGGTGGGAAGGGAGGAAAATGATTTCACTTATCTGTGGAGTATAAGAACAAAGAAAAAACTGAAGGAACAAAACAGCAGCAGACTCACAGAACCCAAGAATGGACTAACAGTTACCAAATGGAAAGGGACTGGGGAGGATGGGTGGGAAGGGAGGGATAAGGGGAAAAAAAAGGGGGCGAGCATTACTACTAGCAGACATAATGTAGGGGGCGGGGCATGGGGAGGGCTGTGCAACAGAGAAGACAAGTAGTGATTCTATGGCATCTTGCTGCACTGATGGACAGTGACTATAATGGGGTATGCTGGGGAGACTTGGTGATGGGGGAGTCTAGTAAACATAATGTTTCTCATGTAATTGTACATTAATGGTACCAAAATAAAAAATAAAAATAAATAAATAAATAAATAAAATAAAAATAGAAAAACCTAAGTTGACAGTCAACAAAATAATTGGCCAGAAGTCTTCAAAGTGTCAAGGTCATGAAAGTACATGTATCAAACTAAGAGAGACTGAGGTACAATATCAAACTAAGAGAGACTGAGGAGACACAGCAGCCACTAGCAATGTAGGATCCTGGACCAGGAAAAGGACATTGGTGAGATAACTGACAAACTGGCATGTGCAGATTAGAGAACAGAATCCTATCAATGTTAGTTTCCTGATATTGGTAATTATACTTTGGTTGGTTACACAGGAATTTTTAGTATTATTTTTGCAACTTAATAAATCTGAATTAGTTAAAAAGAAACGTTTTTTAATGCCCCATTTTCACTGAACCAGATCATCTACAGTTCTATTGCCACCTTACAGGCGTGTCTCCAACACTGCCACATGGCTCTCTCACAGCTCTGGGGAAACCTGCCCACCTGAGATTATCATCAGCTCCCCCAACCACCACCAAGCTGTTCTCAGCCCGAATCTTCTCCCGAAAGTCCTCCATGGCTTCGGGGTGACACTGAAGAGAATTCTGTCCAATGACAAAGAGGACTGGAGTCTTCATATCCAAGAGGGGGTCATCCACATCCTAAGAGAGAGGTTAGTTTCATAATCAGCCAGCTAACACTCCCTGAGCACTGACCAGGCAAAGTTGCTCAGCAGAGTCAGCTGGGAACTGTGGTCACTGAGCAGCATCCTGAGTGAGGCATCACTCCCTCCCTCTGACCTGCTGACCACCCAGCAGGGAGCCACACCCCATGCTTACCCCTCTGGGGCCATCCATGGTAAGCAGAGGAAACCCAAGGCAGACCACTGCAGTGACATACTCCATCACCGACACCTGGAGATGATGCAACGGTTTGTCTCGAGGTCAGCTGACTTCACTGGAGCTACAGCCTACCCAGAATCCAGAGGTGGTCCAGACCTACCCACTAGCCCCATCACTTCCCTGTTCTAACCCCCAGATGGACCAGCCATAGTGGCAGCAGTAAGAGCAAAGAACATAAAATGTGCTGCTCATCAGCAGCCACCACCTAGAGAACCAGGGTGCTGAGAGGACCCCAGCAGAGGTTGAACCACAGGGCGGGAGGTTAATACCTCTCTCCTGTCAACTCCCGAGACTAGAGTCCTCCTGCTCATGTTTCCCTCCCCTAATAACAAATGCAATCAGAACACAAATGCTGCTCTTCTCCCTTAAGGAAAGAAAATCTCTGCCTTTTGAATTTAATGGCTAGGTCCCAAACACCCCAAATTTCTTAGAGCTGTGGCTGACTGAGTGCTGCCATCCTGGGGCCAGGGAGTGTGGAGCAGAGCCTTCTTCCTCGTGTGGCCCTAGATATCATGCTTGACTGGACCACATGAAGCAGCACAGACTTCGTTTACGTGATCCACTTGAGAACTAGGGCTTCGGACAGCTCAGGAACATGTCTGCAAACTAATATCCATACAAAAGTATGTAAAATAATAAAGAAAAACTTCCTTAGAAAGGACCCAGACATGATCACACATCAAATTTCAGAGCTATTAAAATTTTTGCTTGCTAGAATTGTTTTGTTTTGTTTTTTAGGTAGGAGAATAGTGCTTATGTTTGGGCAAAAGTAATTTTTTTTAGAGATGCATGCTGAAACATATGTAAATGAAATGGTATGGTATTTGGGATTTTCTTCAAAATAAGTGAAGAAGAGAAAGTTGCAGGGGCAAGATGACCAAAGCTTGCCCATGAGCTGATCACTGGTAAAGCTGGATGCAGGGCCCCAACGGTTTTATTATGCTCATCTAGCTAGTCTCCCTTTAAGTTTCTGCTTAAAATTTTCCACAATAAAGTTAAAAAGTAAATTTCGTCTTCTACAATTTAAAACATAACTACATAAGTCAAGCATCTAGCACAGTGCCCAGAACATGAAAACGGACTCAGCAGCAGCTTGCAGCCACATTAGTAGTGGGATCAGGAGCAGTATTCTGTCCCAACCTCTAAGTAAGATAGGAATTACTCACATGACAGGCCACCAAAGCTCCTGTATTCCAGCCAATCAAGATAATGGGTTTGTGGGGAAAATGGCTGTGAATCTTGGTGGGAAGAGAAAGAAGAGTAAAACAGGAGGCCACAGATGGGTGCAGAACACGCCCAAAATGCTGAGTGTACTACCGTGAACAGAAATAGGAACACTCTCACCTCGAGCACTTTGCTTCTCACCGCCCCAATCATATGCTCCAGGCACTGCAGAACTCCCACCCCACTACCATTGTTCAGCAGATGGGTGGCTACAGGGATAACCTAAAAAAAGAAAGTTGGCAGTCATACCAGCAGAGGTTAAGTTTCAAATCTTCTCTCAATTCTGCTTCATCAACTTTAAATCCCTTCAACTGTGGATAAGTACCATTTGAGTTCTAAACAAAAAGACAGTTGGCAAAATCTCTACATTTCAGTTCGTCTATTTTGACCCCCACCTAAACTGTCTGTTCAGCACTCCAAAACCATATTCCCACCCAGGAGAGAGTGTCCTTGCCCACACATACCTTGCCTAAGCAGGAGAGCTGGGATTGCCAGAAGCGGTGGCGGCGTGAGGTGGGGAACGCAGAGCTGGAGGGCCCGGAGGAGGCAATGAGAATAAGAGGAGAGCCAGGGAGTTTGCTCTGAAAGAACCCCACCAGAAAATGAAGGAGTGAAAGGTGTTCCTCCACAAAATCCCAAGTATCCCAGTACCTTCTCATCCCAACCAATGCGGATTTGCTTATGAACCTATGATAAGCACTATATACAACCAATTATTAATAAAAAAAGTTAAACAAGCCATTTATTATCCTCTTGCCAATGTTCTAAGACTGGATTCTAAAAACTTCCTGGGTCATATTTAAGTCCTGAGCTGTCTGACTTACTGGTTTGTTATGAGAAAGCACCCCCACAGCAGGGTCCCAGGGCCTCTTCAGCAGGAGAGACAAGGCCTCAGCTCCTGCAGCCCCAGTCTTCGTGTTGGATGACACAAGCATCCGATCAATCAAGGCAGGGATCTGGAAGCAAGGAAGAGCAAAGATGATTCTAATGAGGCAGGAGACCTGTCCACCAGCAGCGATCAGGCAGGAGGACAGAGACCCACTATGAGCTACACACAGACTCCAACTAAGTCTCTCAAACTTCCCTTAGGGGCAAAAGTACAAATAAGTGGATGACCAGAAAGTATGCCTCACATCATTAAAGGTAAGTGGGTTATAATCCTTTGGGGAAAGCAGCTTGGTGATAAGTATCAAGAGATTTAAATTTATTCCTATCTCTTTCCCAAAGGATTCTACTTCTAAGACCCTTTTCTAACAAATGTATCAGAAATACACATACAAGGGGGTATGCAAAAGATGAGATCACTCTTGATAATAATCAAAAAGTGGAAACAATCTAAATGCATATATACAACCTAAATGCATATATATGAGAGTGGTTCAGCAAATTATCCGTAAGTTAGATATTAAGAGTTAATTGAAAATATTTAAAACATTTATCATAACATAGGGAAATAATTTTGCTAAATCATTAAAGGTAAAAAAGAAAACATAAAAATTATCTTCACTCAGAATACCATTAAGAAAATATGCCAAAACATTAATGGTGATTTTTATGGAGTTACGAATGATTTTTTCCTTTTTAGATTTCTGTATTTTCTAGATTTCCTCAATGAATATCAACTGATTTTACAAAAAAAAAAAAATATTCTGCATTTTGTTCTAGAATACTGCCTTCAAGCTGTGGGATGTTAAAGAAATCTATTCTTGTGCCCAAAATAAAATATCCTATTATACTGTATATTTTGTGATTTATACCATACCCTGCTTTCTACTACTCACCAAATATGTGACTTTGCAGATGTACAAATGTAAGTTTCAGACATGCCAATGCTTACACTGACAAAAGAAATATCTGCGTAAATTCCATACTACACACAAAGGTCAAACTGACCCAATGGAAAGGAAAGGTTTTTACATGACAGAGATGGTTTCCAGGAAAAAAAAAAGTTTTTGAGAAACTGGAGAATAGAAAGTACTATGGTGATATAGGCTGTAAAAGTTCTGTCTATAGCTAACATCATAGCCAACAGTGAAAAGCTAAAAGTTTTTCCTCTAAGATCAGGAACAAGATGAGGATGCCCACTCTCCCCACTTTTATTCAACATGGTATTAGAAGTCCTAGCCAGAGTAGTTAGGCAAGAAAAATAAATAAAAGGCATTCAAATTAGAAGTGAAGAAATAAAACTGTCACTATTTGCAGATGACATGCATTACATATAGAAAACCCAAGAAGACTTGACCAAAAAACTGTTAGAATAAATGAATTCAGTAAAGTTGCAGGATACAAAATCAATATACAAAAAGCTGTTGTACTTCTATACATTAATAACAAACTAGTAGAAAGAGAAATTGCAAAAATCCTATTTACAATCAAATAGAAAAAAATACCTAGGATAAATTTAACCAAGTTAGTGCAAGAAACTACATGCTGAAAGCTATAAGACATTAATGAACGAGCCTGAAGAAGACACAAATAGAAAGATATTCTGTGCACATGGATTCATGGATTGAAATAATCAATACTGTTAAAATGTCCATACTACCTAAAGCAATCTACAAACTCAATGTAATCCCTATCAAAATGAGGATTTTTCACAGAAACACGACAATCCTAAAATTTTTATGCAACCACAAGACCCCAAATATTCAAAGCAATCTTGACAAAGAAGAACAAAGCTAAAGGTACATGCTTCCAGATCGCAAACTAAATATGACAAAGCCATAGTAATCAAAACAATGTGACAGAAGTATAGTAACAGACACACAGATCAACAGAATAGAACAGAGTCCAGAAATAAACCCATGCATATATAGTCGATTCACACAAGAGAGAGGAATATTAGTCGGCCATAAAAAAGAAGGAAATTTAGCTATTTGCAACAATAATGGACCTTGAGGGCATTATGCTAAGAGAAATAAGTTAGAAGGAAAAAGACAAATTCTGTGTGATCTCTCTTATATATGGAATCTAAAAAAGCTCATAGATACAGAGAAGACATTGGTGGTTGCCAGAGGTAGGGGACAGGAGTGGGCAAAATGGGTGAAAGGAACAAAAGGCACAAACTTCCAATTATAAAATAAATGACTCATGGGGATGAAATGTACAGCATGGTGGCTCCAGTTAATAATACTGTACTGTATATTTCAAAGTTGCTAAGAGCAGATCTTAAAAGTTTTCATCACAAGAATAATTATGTATGATGACAGATATTAGACTTTTTTTGTTGCAATATATACGAATATCCAATCATTATGTTGTACAACTGAAACTAGTATATGTCTATTATACCTGGATTTTAAAAAGTTGGAAGACAGCATGAGAAGGTAAGGCAGGCAATGATAAACAAGGACAGGATTCCTAATTTAAAAAGGGAGAGAATAAAAAGATATCTACATGAGAAATTAGGGAAATACACCATGAGACTTTCTCAGTTCAGTTCAGGAAACAAATGTTTATGCAACAGCTGTTGTTACAAGGCACCAGGCTCACTGCAAAGGAATTTAATCTACAAGGCTAATAAAGACAAACACACAAGTAACAAAAGGGGGTGTATTAAGTGCCATAAAGAAACAGAAGCCCCACACTGTTATGATTTATCTGAAGAAAACAAACCGTGTTTGACTCAAACCGCCCAGCAGAGAAGGGGGAAGTGAATAGGCAATTTCCACCTGAACATGCAACATGTGAGATGCATTCTGAAATTTTCCAAGAGAAGATGGAAAAAAGTCTTCCAATCAGAGATACCAGACAGAAACAAGAATGTAAAGAGCTTATTCTAGACACAGTCGGCCTGAGGTGGAGGACCCGAGGAAGGAAGTAGGAGAATACCAGGCTAGTAACAGAGGCAAAAGACACACTGCAAAGCGTTCTCACCCAAACTGGCCTTTTCTTCGTAGCTCACTCTTTAACTGTGAACCACTCAACCCCTGAGGGCAGATCGGAATTGGACTTTAAAAGCTTTTATCTGGCAGAGGGCCACACCTCTGAAACAACAAAGCTTTGAAACTCACTTTCTATCAATACAGAATACTTAGAAATAATCAATAATCAACTCTGCCTAGAGCTAGGCAGACCAGGCTTCCCTGGTCTTTCCAGCGCTGCATCACTCTTAACAGACAATGAAGAGACTAGGGTCTGCTAGGGTCTGTATCTTCCTGCTCCCTTTATAATGGATCTAATGCTGAAAGTGGCTAGCTAAGAATATGATGCCATCCACCTGCATTTCACATAGCAGGTACATTAAGAAGTTTTGGGAAACAACCAAAGTTGCGAATCTGAAAGTTATGGGGAGAGTAAGAGTCTGATGGTAAAGGAACCACTGCTGAGAGAACAATCGAGAGAAGGCACCTTGCAGTCTGAGGCCCTTGCTGACCAGTGCACTTGTGTGTCCTCCACCTTTCCAGCTAACCTGCACTATGATTTAGCAACATTGGCCAGGCAACGTTCAACTGTGCACACCTGTGAAGTCCCCATTGCCTGTCATGCTCAAAACCTAACCTCCACCTCACACACTTGGCAATATCCAGACAGTAACTTAAAGAAGGAAAAATGACAAACTTCCTTATAATGGATGTTAAAGCAGAGTCACTACAGAAGTGGGATTCTGGGCACTACCAACACTCATCCCCTTGAGTATATTCACCAATATGTTGTCTTTTTCCAAGGGTAGAATGCTCTGAAGAACATTTAACAGCTTGAAATACTCACAGACCACCACTATCTGACAGGGCCTTGTACAGGCCACATACCCCAACTATACCTGTACCTGCCTACCTTTCATCTCCTGGGCCCAGGGTGTCTACCACAGAGGAGCAGGATGGGGGAAGGTCTGCACCATCTTTTTTTTTTTAAATACAATTTTTTTTATTAAAGTATTATTGATATACACTCTTATGAAGGTTTCACATGAAAAAACAATGTGGTTACTACATTCACCCATATTATCGAGAAAACACATACTCCATTTGCAGTCACTGTCCATCAGTGTAGTAAGATGCCACAGAGTCACTACTTGTCTTCTCTGAGTTACACTGTCTTCCCCATGATCCCCCCACACCATGTGCACTAATCATAATACCCCTAAATCCCTTTCTCCCTCTCTCCCCACCCCTCCCCTTTGGTAACTGCTAGTCCCTCCATTGCTTTTTTTCTTCTTCTTATTTTTAAAATTTTTATTAAGGTATGATTGATATACACTCTTATGAAGGTTTCACATGAAAAAACAATGTGGTTACTATATTTACTATTAAGTCCTCATCCATACCCCAAAGCAGTCACTGTCCATCAGGGCAGCAAAATGCCACAGATCCACTATGTGCCTACTCTGTGCTACACTGTGCTCCCCGTGATCCCCCACAACGTGTGTACTAAACATAATACCCCTCAATTCCCTTCTCCCTCCCTCCCCACCCACCCTCCCAAACCCCTCCCCTTTGGTAACCACTAGTTTATTCTTGGAGTCTCTGAGTCTGCTGCTATTTTGTTCCTTCAGTTTTGCTTCATTGTTATACTCCACAAATAAGGGAAATCATTTTGCATTTGTCTTTCTCTGCCTGGCTTATTTCACTGAGCATAATGTCCTCTGGCTCCATCCATGTTGCAAATAGTAGGATTTGTTTCTTTCTTATGGCTGAATAGTATTCCATTCTGTATATGTACCACTTCTTCTTTATCCATTCATCTACTGATGGACACTTAGGTTGATTCCATACCTTGGCTATTGTAAAAAGTGCTGCGATAAACATAGGGGTGCATGTCTTTTTGAATCTGAGAAGTGGTATTCTTTGGGTAAATTCTTAGGAGTGGAATTCCCGGGTCAAATGGTATTTCTATTTTGAGTTTTTTGAGGAACCTCCATATTGCTTTCCACAATGGTTGAACTAGCTTATATTTTCCTGCCAGCAGTGTAGGAGGGTTCCCCTTTCTCCGCATCCTCACCAGCATTTGTTGTTCT